TTACTTTATCAAGCATTCCATGGATTCTTCAAGTTAGTTTAAAGAATGCTGCTAAATTACTATGATTCAATTGCATCTCAAACTTACACTGATACTTATCCTTTGATAGTTATTCTTGAAACTTTCTCCATTTTGATTGTAACATTCTTTGATATTTATTCTTGAAATTTTATGGTTATTTGTCATTTTCATTCTTTATTTGGTGCAGTTCTCCATTGGCTACTTCCTGACCGACCTGGCTATGATAATTTGGTATTTTCCAGCTTTAGGAGGTCTGGAGTATGTAAGTACAAAATTGCATGCTAGACATTAGTGGAACACCATATTAACATATATTTGTGTGGGTGTGTGGGATTATGTTTCCTTGGAACCTTGCTTTTATTTCTTTCAGTATCATATTGTTGCTGCAGTGGATTTGGCTTAAATCTGGTATAACTGAATTTAAAGAATCAATGTAATCAATATTTACCTTCTTCAAAATTAATAATTGGTGTTTTCCTCTCTACCTTTCATGTGGTTTAAAAGTTCATCAGAGCTTGTATACTTTGTTTGCCTCCTATGTTTTACTCAGGTCCTACACCATGGGCTATCAATGTTTTCAATGTTTCTCTCCCTCATTAGTGGTCAAGCACAGATGTACATACTAATGACACTCTTCTCAGAGTGTACCACCCCTTTTGTCAACCTAAGATGGTAAATCTGACTTTTTCTTTTGTATCATCTCAGTGTTCTTGTTATTGCTTTGTCATCTCATCAACAATGGTTAACTACTCTGACTATATCTTTTAAGGTACTTGGATGTTGCTGGAAAGAAGGGCTCTATGATTTACATCTTCAATGGCATTGCTTTGTTCTTCGGGTGGTTGGTACTGTCTACTATACTTCAAGTCTTGTTACTTTCAATTCGCTTTTGAAATCATCACCTAATGAATTCACATATTTCTTATGATTTCAGATCGTGAGAATTTTTCTCTTCATCTATTTCTTTGCCCACATGTTTGGCCATTTTGATCAAGTAAGTGATGCTGCGTGATTGTGTCTAATCCAGATGAGCTTAGGCTTTGATGACCAAAGTTCATATAGTTGTTTGTTTCTTTCAATTTGTACTTCCAAATTACAATCTATAAGGTTCCAAATATTTTCTTGCAAAAAATGTAATTTTTCAGTGGGCTTTGAAACTGATACTGAATTGTAGTCAAATTTTCCTGAATCAAAAAGTCTTTTGTTTCATATCGTTAGTTCAATGATTTCTGCAGTTTTGATGAGAATGTGCTATAGTATCAGATTTAAATGGTTGTTTGAGATGGGATGTTATAAATTTTATTTCCTTGGATTTGGGGAAGGAAGCAGAGTAGATAGGTGGAAAATCATTTTAGCTTATTTCGCATGCAACACATTACTTGCAGAACTTGGTTTCCATTAACCTCAGTTTTCTTATTTGTTTAAGTGTAGATAGGGTGGAAAATCTTTATAGCTTATTTTGCATGCAACACATTACTTGCAGAACTTGGTTTCCATTAACCGCGGTTGTCTTATTTGTTTCAGGTGAAGCAAATGTTTCCCCTGGGATTCTATAGTTTGCTTACAATACCTTTCTTGTTGGCAACAATGAACATGTTTTGGTTTTGGAAGATTACCAAAGGTTTGATTAAAACTCTGACCAAAGCAAGACATAGTCAATGATCCAAAAGCTAAATATGTATGTTCATGGTGGCCGTGTAACATTGGAGGATGCTACAGAAGACGATCTCTACACTAAATTGCAAACTATTGCTGGTTGTTTACCACTGTGAAGTGTGAATCAAATGAGATAGTCAATTCACTTGTAACCCTAACTATGAAGGCAAGCAACATCATATTTTGGGTTGGAGAAGAAAATATAGTTGGGCATTAAGGTTTGATTAAGGTCATGTTTGGTTGGTAGTGTGTGTCTATATATATATATATATATATATATATTCTTTTGAGGAATGAATATTCCTTGATTCATTGCTTTGTTAGAGAAAAATTAGACATTAAGACTAGGTTTCTTAAATTTAATCTATTTTTATAATTTGATTAAAGAATAACAACTACTATCAACAAAGAAGAGGTGCAAAGGTTTCATTTGTTAAATGGTAAACTTATAATTGTTTTTTTTTTTTTTTTTGATACTAACTTTTTAGTATTTAAAAATCACATTAAATTCTGACTAATTCAGAGTTAAATTGTATTAAACTTTATAAAAGTAAAATTCTTTTAACACATGTTTTTTTATTCAGAAGATTTGAATTTGATACTTTATATTTATGCTTAAAAGGCAATGGAGCTTTCTTCCCTCATTGGTAGAATTGTGTTCCAATAACATGATTGTGGACCTAACTACAAAAATTAAGAGGTTAGGGACCATCCGTAAGGATTATAATCCCGCGCGTATTATTGGACCAAAATGAAGAAAAGTCCAATCTTAATGACCACTGTGTTACTGACCAAATCTAACTTGCCCTGTGCGGCGAGCAATGATCGGCATGAAGTGTGTCTGTCGGCGGAGGACGCGGTGTCAGTTAGTACAGATTATAACCGCTATTCTCCGTATTCCCAAAGTTGATTGCCACTTTCATCGCCGCCCCATAACAATCTGATTCCTTCACTATTTATTTAGTATAACATTTTCTCTTTCCTCAAGCATCTAAAGCTTGTTTCTTTTTTCCAATCAAGATCTGCGCATGTTCAAGATGGTCGAATCCCACGAGCAAAAGTGTTGGATATGTAATATAAAACAATCAGATCATTCCATCATTAGCTTTTCTTCACCATCGTCAACTTCTAATTAATCCGAAACAGAAGATACAAGTATATATTTCTTCTTTTGGCAAACTGGAAAAAATTAATCATGTGGAGAAGGTTTTGGTCGTGCTCAGGGGTGAAGCTGGGTGTATCGGCGGTGATTGGACCGAAGCCTTTTCTTTTTCATCATCATCATCATCATCAGGGTGATCAATTTTTATTGGTGGGATTGAAGTCGGTTGGATCTTACTCCTTCGGAAAAGCTTGGTTGTCGTCTTCGACGGCTACTTCCGATGTGTCTGCTTCTAAAGCGTCCGGAGTGGGATTGGACAGCATTTCCTTCTCGGAGGCGAAGAAGCTGATGAGACTGGTGAACGTAGAAGCACTGAAGAGGAAGCTAGAGATGGGAGGCAAGGAGTTGATTGGATACTCGGAATTGCTGGAGGCCTGTGAGAGTATGGGCGTGGCCAGATCCATGGATGAGGCAATCGCGTTCGCACGCGTGCTGGATGAGGCTGGGGTCGTGCTTCTCTTCCGCGACAAGGTCTATCTTTATCCAGATAAGGTGATATCTTTTTACTTTATTCCTTTATTCCTCAATTCCATCTGTGTATATTGGTATTGTTATTGGATTAGACCCCACCCCAACCAATGTTTTTTAATTAATTAATTAATGGTGTGTAACATCTACTACTCCTTTTTGCATTCTTTGATTGCTTTAGTTTAGCTTTTCTTTCAGCATAAATACTGCCGGCTCCATAGTTTTACTGTGGCACACTATTCGGACGTAGTCTTCTTCCACGGAGAGGAGTCACTAATCTAATCTGAGTATTGCTTCTCCTTTTAGTTGAGATTTTTTCTCTCATAAAAGGGAGAAAGGAATACAACTCATACTGTTGCCTAATTTGCTGATAAATAAATGTTTACCTGCTTTAACTCGACTAATAAAACCCCTTGTAGATATAAATTGGGTTCATGGTTTCCTTTTTTTTCCAAGAAAAGAAGAAAAGAAAAAAAAAAAGAACAATATCCTAACTCCTAAGTGCTGTAAAGGTGAGTTAATGATATCAGATTATCAGCAGAGACCTGTGCGCAGTCGTGTGTGCAAGCTCTGAATTTGTTCTTTCTTTGCTATGGTGTGAGAAACTTGGTATTTAGAATTCTGGCATTCCAATAAACTGATATCAGACTCTCTCTCCTCAGTTGTGTTAGAAATAGAATCAGTTGCCACATATTTTCGGTTGCATCTCTCTCTTTTTTATGATATTGGTGAAGTAGAGTTGCATTTAGTGCTTACCTCAAAAGTTTAGGGTCACCTTGTGTTTCTGGGGATGGCCATAGTTTTCAGTAGAAGTTTAATGCTTTCCATTGTTTCTTTAAAACTTAGTAGCAGCCCTGAGATTTATTGATTGTAGGGTATAATGTCCAGTTCTCATGGTTGGTTGAGATGATCTAATTGTGATTGGGATAACAATATAGTCTTGGGCCAGCATTGCTGTGATCATTAGTTGTTTCATTTTCTTTTCAATTATTTCCTTTTTGGTTCAAATAACATTTTATAGTAGTGCCACTTCTGTTAGAAGTTAGAAGGATTTTGAGAGCTATTAGATGTGCTATCTTACCTATCCAAGTTCTCCTTCTACTCTCCTTATTATCTTTTAGAAATTTGTGTTTCTGCGTTTCATTCGGTAAATAAAATGTTCTTTTCCTGGATGAGCAAGTGATCTTCATAAATTCCTGAAGGAGTATCACTTCCTCTTCTCTTAGTAGCATGGAATCTATATATTTTTATCATCAAACAAACAAACATTTTATCTGGCAGTCATGGTTGGAAAATAAGATGTGTATATCCAGTTGTGTCAAACTATCAGTATAAGCATTGATATTTCATCGGCACAAGCATTTTTTCTGCCAAAATATGCTCAACCATTAGACAGTATAAACCAAATGATAATGTCATTCTTGTTTGTTTAGGTGGTGGACCTGGTTAGAAGAGCAGTACCCCTTGCTCTGACCGCTGAAGATGACCCTGTTAGAGAGGAACTCAAGAAGCTGCAGGCAAAGAAAGAAGAGATTGACGTGCTGGCACATCAGCAGGTTCGCCGCATCCTCTGGACTGGTCTTGGATTTGCTGTAGTACAGGTTGGGCTCTTTTTCCGGCTAACGTTCTGGGACTTCTCATGGGATGTTATGGAACCTATTGCATTTTTCACCACAACTGCTGGTCTTGTCATAGGCTATGCTTACTTCTTGTTCACTTCGAGAGATCCAACTTACCAAGACCTCATGAAAAGGCTCTTTCTCAATAGGCAGAGAAATTTGTTCAAGAAGCATAATTTTGACGTTGACAGGTTCAAGGAGCTACAGAATAAGTGCAAAGTACCTCTAGATGCGGCTGCTTCCATTCGCAATCGTGTAGGATTGGAACTTGAATTGGAGGATGCCTTGCACAAGGACTAACATTTTTCCTCCTTTACCCCTTCCCGCCTTTTTTTTTATTTTGTATTTTTTGAGCTATTCGATATGGGTCATCCCAATACCCAACCTTGTTTTTTCTTTTTCTTTTTCTTTTTCTTTTTCTTTTTCCTTTTTTCAGGAGGAATGACATATGCTTTACTTTTCAGTAGCTTTATTAAAATATTTTCCAAAATAATTGTTGCTTTTTAATTTTAAATTTTTCATAAAATTTTTTTTTTAAATAAATAAATATTTTTTTCTTACTCTAACATTATCGTCATTCATTTACTTTTCACTAATCATCCTATATATATATAAAGCCTCTTTTAACTTTTATTTTATTTTAAAAATATTATAAATAAATGTAAATATTATTTTAAATTCTTAATTTAAAAAAAATTAAAAAAACCAACAATCATTTAAAAAAAAAAGTAAAAAGTATATAAAACTTTTCTGTCACTGTCTGAACCTTTCCTACTTTCCCCTTTTTCTAAACCTATAAGAACTTCAGGACTCAAAGGTTACGTAATCGGCGATGTAGAACACATTTTTCTCTTCATCAATAACAGTTTTCACTTGGCTATCATTGTGCCACTTTCTTAATATTGTAGAAACTGTTTTCATTCCAAGTTGTTGGGCCTTAGGGATTTATTAGTATAAAATAATACAACACAATAATTTGAATGTTAGTCTTTATTTTAAATCAAGATTTTTAATTTTAAAAGTGTTTTACAATTTAAATTAATTTAAACGATAAAACATTCATCATTTTATTAGAATTAAATTCTTTAAAATTTTATTCTTATTTTACCATCCAAAATCAATCCAAATTGTAAAACAAGATTCTCTCTTTTAATTTGGTAATTTGGTAATTACCAATTCCACCAAACTCAAGCATATCCTTCCCTATCATCACCAAGAGTCACATAGCTATTCAACCAAGAAAGAAAAGAATTCACATAGAGATAGGTGCACAAGTCCATGCATCTCTCTACAAAAGCCTATACACATCATTCTTCTTGAACACCATGAAGTCACCTTCGAGTTTCCCCAATAAATCAACCACCTCTTCTTCTTTACAAAACTTGAAGTGCTCTAAAATATCAGACAGTGAAACCTGCAGATTATCAATATCATCATTTTGCAGAGAACAAAACCAAAACTAGGTGACAAGCAATCAAAGCTCTATATATTTGAAAAGAAATCGGGCCGTTCAGTCCACTCACCCCTTTATCATTATTCTTCAACCAATTTAACACACAACTTTCAGTTGCCTCTAATGCAGTTGAATTTTCATTAGGTTGATCAGCTTTATGGCGTTTCCTTGAGAATAGATTGCCATCATCACCACTGGCTATGGATAGTTGTCGTCCCCGTGTCTCTGTTAAGGTGAATCTTTCTTCATTGGTTTGCAAGCTGCAATGAGAAACTGCATTACTGCCTGAAATCTCATCTTCATTCTGTCCCACCGTCCATCTTGTATCAACTTCATCAGATTTCTGTGTGTCGTGGTGAGACAATGCAAACGCCTCTGGGGACACTCTGCTGTTCTGCATTACCAAACAAGCCTTGATGTATGCATAACTGAGCTGGCATCAATCATGAAGCAAATATCTTTAGTTATGAAAGATTGAAATGCTTTTATAGCCACACCAGAGTGCATAATGGTTTTAGAATGCAAACTTATGAAGTACATAGATTCTAGTAAATTAAGACATTCAGCCCCCTCAAAATTCTGAGAAATAACGAAAAAAAGAAAAGAAAAGAAAAGAAAAGAAAATCAAAGGCTAACCTCTTCCGGTAATTCATTTTTTATGGGCTTCAACTTCTCTATAGAGCCAACCTTTACAATGGCATTCTGGATAGCTGAGAAGATTTCAACTGTAAATCCAATCTCATCACATAATCTAGTCCAATCAATCTCACATCCTTCTTGGGCAGCATCCAGAAGATATTCAAGAACAGTTGAGTCTTTTATAGGAGCTGATCTACCAGGCAAGTTCTGGGTATTAACAGACACAAGTCATGTAATTGAAGCAGGATTATAATGCAGATAAGAAATTGAACTAAAAATTGAAAACATACTGCAACGCTCTTAATGGAAAGGCCATCTTCATGCCATGCTTTCCAAGCTTCAAACTTGGCAGGTGTCAATTTTCGCTCATTGTTGGGCACTGTACAGATTTTTGTTGTGACTGTAGTTGGAAAGTTCACTTCCCCATCCAAGGAGAGGTTTAGTCTTTCAGATAGATGTTTAATAGTTTGAAGAAGATGATCCCCATGTCTCATTACAAGGTGCTGCAACAATGATTAGTTTTATGTATTAATTACTTTCTGATAGGATTGAACTTTAGATTTAAGATGAAACAAAATCAGAAGATAGAAATTCATGAGATATGATTAAATTTAATAACTCCAGAACTTTCAATGGTTTCTCACTTGAGGAAGCCAAACAAGGATATACTCAAGGATCATAAACTACTATTACCATTAAACACATTCAGATCAAAGAGAAAATTATTAAAAGTTAGGACAAAGCAAAGACTTTAGGAAACATCTCTTTAGTCCTAATTCTAAGACATACCTGGTTGACACCATCAATATTTGCTAACCTTGCTTTGGTAGATGGCCTTGTCAATGCAATTTTTTTTATTGTTTGATCACCACATATGGCATATCTGCAGAGAGAAAATCCAACAGGCAAACAAATGTAATGTTTCTCACAAGCGTGAAATATTACTCCTCCATCAAGACAAATAAATTAGCTTCTGCACATTGGTTTTTTTGAAATATAACAAAACCTACGGAGCAGTTCCAATGCTTCTAGCAAGCTTCATTCTCTCTTCTAAAAGCATTTGATAGAGTTGCAGCTCAGCCTGAAGCATAAAATAATACAATAATTCACTAAGGAAAAACATCTCATTAACTAACCAAAAAAATGCAGCATGAAATAAGATTTGACCAATTTCATTCAACTTTCAATGAGTTTTAGTCACCTAATTAACATTGACAAACAATTTTCTATAAGCAATTTTTAAGACATGCCAGATTGGAATTTCTTTACTTTGATCTAAACTGTGAGGCTGAACCCTATGTTTTGTCAACACTACATATGCTGGTTCAAATGTTCAATGTGATAAGGCAGTGACAAAAATATGTGGCAGGAAAAACATAAATAATCATCAACCTCTGAAAATCCCTCCTGTTGCAATGTAGATGAACTTGTGAATTCTCCAATATTCCTTGTTTTGCTTTGTTGTTCTTCATCATCAACCATCTCGCTTGTCAGTGGTAAAACTAGTGGTGGCTGATGATCATATTTAGCAGAATTAAGGAATTGCTCTCCCTTTGGACTAATCCTGATACATTGATAAATGATATCCAAGGTCATTTTTCCTGCAGGTACTAATTTGATCTATAAGTTACAAGGACAATGTTTCATACTTGAATAACATGAATAAATGCAGAATGAAATAGATGAAGAAGAAAATTAGGTTTTATGAATTGGCAAAATGCAGTCACCAGAACAAATAAGTACAGTCTACCTTATAGTTCTGTAAACATCTTTGCTAGTCTCCATCAAATAACCTGAATTGCAACTCTAAGTTAATGGAGATTATTTCCTGAATGGTCAGCAATCAATTATCAAGCAATAAAATTTTCCTAGTTTACCATAAGATATGAGTTGGTATGCCAATGCTTTCCACCAATTTGATGCGTAACTTTTTCCGAGTCCATGAAGAGGAAGCTTGTCAAATTGTGCATCAAGAATCTTTTTTGACTGCAACAGCAATGAATGGCAACTATCATGAATGGCAAAACCAGCATATAAAACCAAATGAAAGGAAGTTATTTATGAACACATGCTAATCATTTATACTAGTAATTTACTGATTAGGGTAGTTGAGTTCAGATATTGAAGATGCGATGCTTGAGTTATGTCTCTTGTCATAAAAGGATATTTATTTTATATCATTTTTGTATGATCTTTTACTATTAAAATATTAACTTGCACAGTTACACACCAATTGAAAGTAGATTTAAAAATTAAAAATTAAAAATTAAAAAAAGCATGCATTTTGTATTAGGCATCTATCCCTACATATAAAACACCAACAAAGAACAACTTACTCGAGACCCACGGAGAACATCCACTGGCATATTAAGGCCCCAGTTACCCCCACAGGACTTGATACAAGCCAATAACAAAAATGCTTCCATAGACATGTTACGCTCTGTCCTTGATGTCAGACAGTTATCACAATTTCCTGTAAATTCATCATAAGTCAACTATTAAATATAGATGCAAATAATAGAAATTGCACAAGAAATCTCAATAATTTACTACTGCTGCTGGAGAAAAACTCAAAATTATCCTGGATCATCCAATTAGTCAAGCTGATGACCTGGTGGAAAATCAATCTACCAGAACTGCATGGCTTTTAGCCGTCACCATCAACAAACCAGAAGAAATCATATGGAATGAAAACACAAAAATTCTCTGGATGCTTAATAGACCCAAATTTCATAAATGATGCTAGAAGTCTGATCTACAAGTTAAGATAAATGCCCAGCAATATCCCCTGCATCATGGAAAAAGTCCTCAACGGAGGAAGATAGAACACAACATTGGTTGAAAAAAAAAGGCTAACAGATAATGGAATGCATAAGTTCTTAGATTTTCAATGAACCAACAAAAATGTTTCTTTTTATTCAATGGATAATAATGTAAAAAAATTCATAGATCTCAGTCAAGTAAAAGGCAAGGAAAGAAATAAACATCAAAGAATAGAACTCTCAACAGAAACCTACAATGACAGGTAAAATGATAAATAGATGTATTCTAGTTAGAGCCAAACCGCAATTGTCAGCTGAAAGTGTCTCTCCAAAGTGACCAAGCAAAAACTTCCTTCTGCAGGTTGTTAGCAAGCAGTAGTGCTGTGCAGCCATAAGTGACTCCTTGATGTGTCTTCTATGATTATCCTAGTTAATGGCAGCCACAAAGAAATTCTCAATTCAAGGACAGAATTTCAAGGGTATCTTGTTTGAAAGAATATGATAGACAGACCAATTGAAAAGTTCAAGACAAAATTTACATCAATAATCTCAACTGATGTTGTCTTAATAAGCAATGGTAGGACAAGATAAAATGGATGTTTCAAAAGCAAACCCTTGCACAAGAGAATAGGCAAAGTTTACAAACATTTTTTGATTCTCTACAGTAGAAGTCAGCCTTTGCAAAGTCACTTCTTGTATAATAAAGCCAGCAAACGGAAGGCATTCCATCTCTACCACATCGCCCAGTTTCCTGATAATAGGACTCCAGATTTTTTGGGCAACCATAATGTATCACATGCCGTATGTCGGGCTTATCAATTCCCATTCCAAAAGCAACAGTGGCAACCATGACCGGCAATTCATCTCTTATAAATAATCTGAGACAATAAAAAGAAGGTTTGATTAGGCTAAAGAACATGTGAAGCCCTAACTGACACTGTATGAAAGAAGAGAACTGCCATGACATTCAGCAATCAAATTGATCATGTGAATAATCCTGTATTCCGAAAATACATGGATGAAGGCAAGACCTGTGGCACTCCTCACGAGCTTTACTACCCATTTGACCATGATAAATTCCTGCATTAATTCCCACCTGCTGAAGCAAGCTGAAAATCTAAGGAAACATGTAGATTAGAACGTTTGTACGACATAATCAAAACCTCGCTACAGATAAATTAAGCAAAAAACGGAGAGACAATCTTCTTTTCTAAGGCCTCAAATGGGCAGCCAAAGTCATCCAGGAAACAATTGTGATTCAAGTTTTAAATTTTAAACGCAAAGGCATATTTTAGCATAGAGAAAATTGTTAAAAGAAAAAAAAAAAAAACACCTGCTCAACGTCTTTAACTGTAGTGCAATAAATGATAGATGAGCCTGATGTGGCTACAAACTTTGAAATTTCTTGCACAAGCTCGTCCAAAAACAGCTGACTAGGATTAAAATGCTTCACTCCATAAAATAGGTTTTTACGATCAAAGGATCCGATGGCAACATAAGGATCTTTCATATTAAGGGAAGTCACAATATCAGTTCGGACCCTGGAAGTTGCAAAGAAAAAAAAAAAAAAAATTATTAGGTATGTCAAACTTGAACAATTTAAGAGTGGTATCATTTAAATCAATAAAACAATGAGCATTTGTTCAAATGGTTAAGACCATCTAACAAAATATGGGCCACTCATATGCATAAAAGGAAGTTCAACAGATTAGCATATTAACAAATGTGGATGTAAGAGAGCTAAAAATTTGGCTGAAAGAAAAATCAAAGTCATGACTGCATTAAGGTTGGGGTGATGTATCACAAAGAAATGTGGATGTGTGTAAGGGGTTATGTAACCCATGGAATAACCTGATAAGAGAGAGATGTACAGAATAATATTTCGTTGAAATGTAAGATAATCCCCAAAATGAGAGATGTACTAGCAACGTGATTGTAAACCAACATTGTGCACAGATTCACAGCAAGAGATCTAAAAAGGAAGATGGGGCATACTTTTCGGTAGCAGTAGCAGTTAAGCCAACAAACGGAACATCCAAGAGAATACCGCGTAACTTGTCTAACTTCTTGTATTCCACCCTAAGAAACCAGTAAATGAGAATTTCTCAAAAAATGATGAAAAATAAGATACAATTTATGCTTGGTTAGCTGAAAAACATAGAGCAAGCCATACAACTCATACCCTAATCTCCAAATAATATCTGTGCATGACAGACAACAGACAACCATAAGAAGGTGAAAACCATCTTAAGCTGAAGACGAACATGTGTTAATACTAACAACCATCAATTCTAAAGAAATAAGAAAACAAAGTGTCAATAACCTGAAATCATGGCCCCACTCTGATATGCAATGTGCTTCATCAACAGCAAAGAGACAGATCCCAGCCTTGAGCAATTTTTCCCAGAAGCTACAAAGTACAGTAGAAATAAAAAAGGGGCAACAACTATCCAGACAAAAAAATAATAGAAAAATGCAATGTGTAGAGAGTATGCAGATAACATAAGTTGGCAGCTCACCTGGTAGGAAGCAAGCATGCCTTCTCGGGAGTCAAGAACAATAAATGGAAATGACCAGTCTCGGCTTTGGACTGAGCGGTGGGATCATTCTGAGCACTTCCAAGGTACTCAGCTCTGATACCCCTTTGTTTCAAGGACATGACCTGCTCTCAGACGACAAATGTCACCTTAATTATTTGATAAAGAAGAAAGCAAATTAAAGGAGTAAAAAATACCAGAAGACAAGGAACAAAGGGAAGTAAGAACCTGGTCCTGCATCAGCGATATTAGAGGGCTTACAACTATAGCAGTCTTTTCGACAACCAGGGGAGGAACCTGATAGCTAACAACGAACGGAAATGCCGAAATTGGAGTAAAGAAGAAAAAAACTAGAAAAAAAAAAAGAAGAAGAAGAAGAAGCATGTAATGAGTCATGAGATGGGGTTTAATACCATAAAGACTTTCCGGAGCCGGTGGCCATCACGACCAAGCAGTCTCTGCCGTCAATTATTTTCTGTATCACCTCCTTCTGATAGGGTCGGAACTCAGAATACCCAAAGTATGTCTACGCCACAACCCACAGTTAAAAGAAGCAACAATCAATGAATGATCTCCGGAAGTTATGAGGACTAGAGATTTTGGTTTTTTTTTTTACCTTGAGAACGGATAGCATCTTCATTTTCTCCCTCCGCCGTGTGCTTTTCCAGCCAAGGAGCTTTATTTATTCTATTTATTAGGGTCGGCAGAAGCGGTGTGGGGATGGGGGGAATACACCGTGCTTTCCCGCGCTTTTCTTCGAAAACAATTGGGTTTCCTTTCTTACCTGGGCCACCCAAACCCAGGCCCAAACCACAGCATTCCAGTTCCAGTACCCAAACGCTGATATTTCCCCGACTCTTTGGGAAGATGATGATTTTCCTTCTTCTTCATTTTTTTTTTTTTTTTACGTAAAAATTGAGGATTAAATTTTAAATTTGTTATTAAAAAATCATATAAATCTGTTATCAGATAACATGATAGATGTGGATTTTACTTTTACTTTTACCCGGCCGCAATGCTCCTTTTCTTCTCACTTGTGTACTACTTTTAGAAAGGTTTTTTTTTTTTTAAGTATATTTTTATTAAAATGATTTGTAGAAAGTGAAGACTACTTAATAGCTCTAATAGAATTATGGTTATCTATTATATGATTTTTATGTTAGGGTCTATATATGAAGGTCACATGATAGATAACTTTGATTTTATTATAATTGTCAGATAATCTTAATTTTATGTGTTTTCTGTTTAGTAAATTTAATAGCAATATATGACGAGCCAATCAACTAATAGTAGTTGAAAATGAATTTTTTTTTTTTAAACAACTATAATTTGTGAGAAATGGAGAAAGAAAATGGTTCAAAAGTCCCCAAACTTTAATTAAGTGAGTTTCAAATAATATTGTTCAGAAACTGAAAATGAAATGATTATGGTTATAGGAGAAAAATACATTGAATCGAATTGAAGGTCAAGACGTTAACCACTCTAAAGGCTGGAGCATAAAAGTCCATCTACCCAAAGAAGAAAATTGAGCAATTCAAATGCCTCCATTTCCATTCAACAGCGGATTAGTCAATAGAACAAAAGTCATGATGACGATTTCACGGACCAATGGGAAGATAGTAGTATCATAGGAGTAGATGTCTGCGGTCTTTTCCAACACCTCTAAAGCAATTGTGGGTAATTTCTCCTTGAGCTAGCAGTTTAATTAATTTTCAACAGAAAACCATGTATGAAAATGATGCAATTTTACATCCTCATAAACCAATTATGACGTCAAATAAATAGAGATGAGAACAGGAGCAGTTTAATAATTAATAGTAGCAGTAGGAAACATAGATAGACATAGCAATACTCAAATCTAAAGCTGTACCAAATTTGGCTTTATGTTTACTTTACTGCTGCTTCTTGTGGAGAAGAGAGTTTGGGATTGGGATTTTCCGGAGAAGCTTTTCATCCAGAATTGCATACTGCTTCTTAAGTTCTACCAAACCCTTCCGTGCATAAGCATCCACTGTATCTTCATGCTTCTCATACAGTACCGGCACTGTCAGCAGCATCACGAATGCTGCACAATCCAATAACCGATACACACCAGAATCACCAAGTTATTTATTTTCCGAACCCAGTTACCTTAATTTTTTAGCTTCTTCAGTCTCAGAAATGACAAGAAAATAGACTCTCATGAATTTAGCTTTAGTCTCATGAAGGACAGTATTCAAGAATTAAGGCTTTAACAATTGCATGTCAAATATTGCCGTTAAGTTTAAAAACAGACCTAAATAAAGAAGGGTCAAAAGACTGAACCAGCTTCCAATAACAGAGACAATCCACAAAGCAGCGACCATCTGCAAATGTCACCAGATGCGATGTTTATTTATATTTGTTGCAAGATAAGTGAAGAAGCTTAATAATTATCAGGGAGGCAAGTTACCGAGAGACATTTCTTTAGATCCTTCCCAGAAGCTACGTCCTGAAAGGTTCTTGATGCACGGTTGAATTCATTCCTTGCCACAAGAGCAACAGTCACGAAGACTTGCTCTGGAAGAAGAACCTTAGGGAGTTCAGGCGGAGCCCTACTCAACAAAAGTGGAGAAAATTATTAGCACTATTAAATCAAAACCAAACTCATAGTGTTGGATTTGGTGAGATGAACAAATAACAATAATTAAATGAGTGAAGCAGAGGCAATATCGAGGAAAACAAAGCTTACATATTCAAGAAAGATACCAAACTGGACCATAGAAACAGTGCTGCTAGTGAGAGAATCAGGAAATGGCAAAGAAAGGTAAGCAGGTGATATTCTATCCATTCAAAAAGAAGCCATATAACTGTTGCACCAGCGAATATCCCTAGGGAGATCTGCTTGTTTCGCCACAGCATTATGTCAGCCGCTGAAAACACAGACAGACAGCTATATATTAAATTCAGTCTGGATTCCAACGGAAGAATAAGCTAATATATGTATATTCTCTTGATTCCTTCGCCAAAAATAACACTTCAGTGAGGGGGGATAAACCAGAACAGAGTTTACAAGTATTTGAACCAAAATCTAAGGACATAAGAAAACATAAATCTACTAAATATAAACCAAAAGGCAGATTGGAATAGAGTGATAAACCAGAGGTGGTTCATAGGTGGCTTAGAAAACCTTCATACGTTGAAGGAACTCTTCCACAATTCTCAAGAAGAGGCTGAACATAAGCTTAGGAAAAACCTCTGTATCTGATGATAGCAGAGCACTTTAAGATCCTCTAGGGAACCTCCAATCCAAAGATGAGCAACTGAACCTTAAAAGCATGTAATAAGCTCCAGAAGACAGTTTGAGAACCTTATAAGTATCCTTGAAAATTAAGCGAGTGTCAAAAAAGAGCTCCAGAAACAGCACAAACTCTCCAACAGTCAAAGGGAGGCTTAGATCTAGACCTGCTGAGTAAGCACATGATAAGGCAGAATCTGCTAGGTAATGCCATGTCAAGAGCACCAGCTACCAAAGTCTTCATCTAGCACCATTTCTTGTTTAAAACTAAAGACAGGAAACTAACTGGAGCATATATGGAAAGGAAATGACTAATCACATGGTATGCAATTACCAAGGTAAAGCAGGTCAAGCAGAGCATCTCCCTACACTCAGGGATGGCATTTAACAGACAAAATCTGAAAGGATAGATAGCATGCACTAATCAACCAAAATAAACTAATTATGATCTCATAGAGAGATGAATGAATCAAATTGTCGAACAGTACAAAACAGGATTCAATTTCATATACAAATGGACATTTTTTGGCAGCGGAAACTGGAAATAGATAATGTAATGGATGGATGGATGGGTTACTTACGTTGTCCGCCGCCGAGGACGACGTAAAGAGGCATGTCGCGGCCAAATAATCGCTTCTTAGTGGCACAACGCAGGGAGGCATATCTATCGATATCGGAGTCGGAGGAGGATGACTCGTTTTCGTTTGCCTTACTCAAGAAATCAGAATCAGTGACGTCCCCGTCCACAACCGAATCCACCATGTTTAATTACCTACACAACAATGTACGATTTGCGTGCAAAATCACTCTTATGTACCAATTACGATCAAATCAATGAATTATTATTATTAATTTTTTTACCTTCCTGTTGATCAGTGTTCTTCCTTCTTGCTATGGAATTTAGTGGTTATGTTTATCTTTCAAAGTCTATAGGAAACTGAAACTTTCAAAGACAGTTAGAGCTTCTACAATTCTTCAGCTTCTTGCGCCATGTCACTGGTGTCAGTATATGTGCCACATTTATTCTCTAGTAATATATATAGATATTTGAATAAAATTGTTTTTCTTCTTTTTTGGGTATCAACAAGCTACTCGCCAAAAACCCAAGCTAGCTAAGCTGGTTAAGAAAATCAGTTCCGCACGATAGATTAAGTGATTAACATGCATCGTGAGTAAGAGCATAAATCAGCAAACGTACATTGATTTTATTAAGCTCATAATAATCATTCCATTGTACACACGAGTTTGATTCCTAACACAACTATGGACTAATTAATGGACATGACGTGTTAACAACTACTGTGACAAAATATCAGTTCCATTTTCTTCAGGCTGATTAATAACCAATCTATATGCGCTGCAGTGTTGATATATTGAATGAGGAATTACAGAGAGAACCAAAACTTATATATAGGAGATGCACCCCACCCCATGATGGCAAAGACTAAAGACTGAAGTGATGGGCAACAAAAGTGCAGATTCCTGTGCCAAATTGCTTTGTACAGATGGAAAAAGTTGCATTCCTTATCAATAAGCTTGTTTTTTTCTTTTTTGAAAACGAACAGTCTCATACCACAAGCTGACCAAAAAAAAAAAAAACAGTCTCATACCACAAACCATGCTGACCAAGATGATTCATGTCATGCAACCTGCTTTTTTTGACCAAAAACTACAATGTATACTGATATTTTATTTATTTATTTATTTTATTGATTTTGGGTTACACAATAGGAGGTAACCATCTCCATTCCTTAATTAATATCAGCCACATGCCATACAATTTAAACTCAAGAACTCTTATTTTCAGTGAAAAGAGATTACTATTAGACTACTTAAGTTGTTAGCATATTAACATTTTATTAATGAAATAATCTAAAACACACAGCAGCAGGCAGCTCACAACTTACTTACTAAGAGATTAACCCCATTTTCTGGTTCTATAACCAACCTAAGAGTGGGGGAATGTTTGTATCCAGGAGAAAGGGCGAATGAGAAGTTGGAAAGGAGCAGAGCTAATAGAACTTTAAGTTCAACAATTGCCAAATTCTGTCCAAGACACACTCGGGGCCCCACACCAAAAGGCATGTACAAGTGTGGAAGCTTACAAGCTCCTGTTATTCCATTTGCAAATCTGTCTGGCTTGAAATTGTAGGCATCCGGTCCCCATATGTCGGGGTCAGTGTGCAATGTCACCACCAAAGTCCAGAGGTTCACACCCTTAGGGACATGAATGTCCCCAAATTTCATGTCTTTCAAGGCCTCCCTGGACACCACAGCAACTGGAGGATAAAGACGCAGTGATTCATGAATTACCATGGTTAGCTGCATTACAGATGGAGTTTCAATAAGTATTAGCACTTTTTACGCTACTAATTGCAACTCAGCATGAGATGAGATGTAGCTACTAGCTAAAGTGAATACATCTTCCATCATATGTATTTGGAGAACATTAAAAATATTGTCATACCAGTTTCATTCCGCGAACCTTGTCAGCATCTGGAGTACTATTCCCACAAACTTGAAGAACCTCAGCACGCGCACGTTGTTGCCATTGTGGATTTGCAGCCAAGAGCATGAGGCACCAGGTAGCGGAAACTGCTGTGGTCTCGTATCCAGCCAAGTATATGTTCTTGCAGTTATCAACAATGAAACGGTCAGTGGCCTCTTGACTGAGGTCACCGTTTTTAGCACCCTGAAGAACGGTTTGCAGCAAGTCCTTCTCATAACCAGTCCCTTCCCTCTCCTTCACCACCTCCAGAATCAGGTTCCGAATCTCTTTCTCCAGTGCCCATGCTTCTCTGTTCCTTTTCGTGGGAAGAAATCTATATATGCAAAATATTAATTCCATCAACAATAATAAATTAAAAAGAAACAATAAGGAAACGGAAGATAGATGTCCATGGAATTAATTAATTAATTAATTAATTAGCAAAATTCAATAAATTTAAATTGCATGCAGGAAAAGCTGACCTCATGCCAGGAATACGGCTGCCTAGAGTACCCTTGGACATAAGTTCCTGGAGAGCCCTTAGTTTCAAGAAAATCTCTTCTCCGCTGGAATAATTACTTCCAAAACAAGCTCTGGAGATGACGTCTCCAGAAAAACTCCTCATATATTCATCAATATTTATGTCAGCAAGTCCGTCCGCACTACTCTCAATTCCACTCTTCCATGACTTTACCAATACGTCGGCAGACTCTACGATTATGTTCATCATTCCCTACATACAAACATATATATATATATACACACACAATTATATTGAAATCAATTTTGAATTTAACACCTGCACGGTCAACTAATTAATTATACGTAGAAATTGAAAACCATATTAATTTGATATGTAGTTGGTATACACCTACCTTGACCTTGTCCATGTATAATTCAGGAGCAAGAATTTTCCTTTGATAAGCCCAAACAGGGCCATTAGATGTTAGAATCCCCTGACCAAGCAAAGCTCCTCTGTCTCTGCGTTGATAGGAAGGCTTACCCAAGTCCAAGGATGTGCAAGTCGTGATCTCCCTCACCATATCGGCTCGGTTCACATACAATATCTGCATGCTACCCAGCGAAAACACGAAGATGTCACCTGAAAACATACCCCCAACCCAGATGATCAATCAATCTAATTACGCGTATATATGCAAATTAATGTATAAAGAAACCAAAAACCCAAATGGGAATTTCAATGCATAATATATAAGAATACCGTATTGCCTCCTCCACTGCTCAAAAATTGGAAAGAGAAGAGCGGCGGAGTTGTGAGAGTTAGGGGGTTGGGACTGGGAAACCTTGTGGTGCTGGTGGACTGATGACTTGATTTGGTTCAGGTTTCCGAGGAGGAAAGATGGCTGGGGGCCGTCGATGCCTTGGCGGCGCAGTTTTGCGCGGAGGCGCTTGGGTTTGAGCACCAAAGCATTGTAAAGAGGCACCAACAATCCCACCAGCGCAACAGCCACCAGAGCACCTACAATCTGGTCAAGTTCCATCATGGAATGTTGGGCAACTTCATGCTGGGGCATTACCTATATATAGCAATAACAATACGTAAGACGATTCAGGTGCTGCTATTACCTAGAAATGTAATGGTAACGAGAATATTTGTTTTTTTCTTAAATTGATATTTAAATATTTTCATTAGGTAATAAATACTATTTGTATTTTTTTTTTGTTTATTTTTAGCAAATTTATTTTATTTTTGGGCGTTTAAAATATAAATTTTATATAAAAATTAAACAATTTATCTACATAATAATTGAAAAAAAAAATTATATGAAATTTTTTTTAAAATATATTTGTTTGATAAAATTTTTTTAATTATCATCTATATAATATATCATATATCAAATTTTATTTAAAATTCATATTTAAAAATTTATGAAATCAAATTAAATCTCTTAAAATATAAAAAAAAATTAATAATTACAATTATTAACTACTTTGACCAATAAAATTGAATAAAATCATTGTGTTATCCCAACAACGATTGTGGAAACACCACTGGCGATTCACACACAAAATACTAATAATGTTAAGTCCCATTTACAACAGCTGGCAGGAGCTAGTCAAGCAGTCATACAAGTGGAAAATAGAAAATTCAAAATTAAGAAAGACTTTGTGTGTATACATATATTTTTTAACATTGAGGGCGCGTGCTGCATCATATTTTTTTTACTTTTTAAAAAGGGTAATTTTTAGTATATAAAAGAGAACCAGGAGTGGAGTACTATTTACGCTTTCAAAGTTTTTAGTACATTTAATTATAAGTTATATAAAAATAAATAATTTTTTTTATTTTTAAACTTTTTTTCATCATTTTCAAAAATTAAAGTTAAAATCTCTATTATAAAACTTTAAAGTCTTAACTGTTATTCACCTTGTCCCCAGTCGTTATAAAGCCGAGAATACCACTTTGCCCATCGTACGAGAACTCTGCATTGGTACTTATACAACATATCATAAAGAAGTTTGGCTTTGTTTTAGTTCGCTGAGGCGGCTATTTTTTTAATCAAATTATTATTATTTTTTGGTAGAATTAATCAAATTATAAAATAACTACTTTATGTAATTCTTTTTGAAAAATTACATAAGAATTTTCTGAGGATAAAAAGCAGAAGAACACACTTTTTTGCAGATATTCTAAAGCTTTAGGCGGCCATCCAAAAAGAAAAAAAGAGCTTTGTAGTTAAAAGTCTTGCAATATATATATATATAAAATGCTGGAAGTTTTGACATGTCAAGATTTTTTTTTTTTTTTTGAATAATGTAGAATTTTTTTTTGGAGAATGAGAAGGGAGACTTGGGATTTGATCCCAAGTTCTCTAATTTTAAGCACGTTCTGCAAGAAATAGCCATTGGATTATCAAGTGCTGGACAATATGTCAAGATTTTTATTAAATTATTAATTATGTAAGTTTTATTCTAAATTTTACGTAATAGATGGTTTGATGGACAACTTAACATATTAAGATGTTTTAAAAATTCAAGGATTTATATATATATATGTTATTTTAAGATTCCTAAACTCCTTCTGATGATGAATTTGTAATATTATAACTTTTGTTTTATTAAAAAATTATTCAAAAAGAAATGATTTGATAAATTTGTAGAGAGTTTTAATGATTAATTTGATAAATTTATTTAGCAGCGTTGTGGCACAGATATTGCTTTAAATTTTGGTCAAAAAACAAACGAGACTTAAACTCTGTGGACAGGCTTTTATGTTCTATTATTTTGGAACGAGAAGATCTAAAGTGAGTTTAAAACATAATTAATAGCAAGGAAAGTAAGGTATGTGATACCATATATTTTTCCAAAGTAGCTTAGTAAATATGATGCCCGTAAATCAAAAAATAATATTACAATTTATGTAAAAA